GCATCCCACCAGTCTCCTGACCTTCAGAGAGGACAATGCTGAAGGGTATTCTGTACAGCTTCTCAGGGGTCCCAGGAAGCAAGCCCCAGTTGCCCACAGCATCCATTAGCGCATCCTCATTCTCCACTCCTATGCCATCCCTCATTCCTGCTTTCAGGGTCCTTCTCCTGGGCGCTGCTTCTAAGTGTGCTCTGATCCAGGCCCCATAAAATGTGAGCCTCATGATTCAGTGAGGCTGTGTTGTGCAGACCTTGTAGGCGACCCCAGGCCAGTCTGTACACCCATGGTGACCACTAAGTTGCCTAAGTCACCCTTTCCCTAGGCCAGTATGGCAGAGCTAGGAGAGGGGACCTGGAAACCTCTGTGGTAATCTTTTATTCTATCCTCAGAACTCCTCTTAACCCATCAAGGAACCTCCTCTCCAGGGTCAAAGGTCAAAGCTCAAAGGATCAAAGGGAAGATGCAGTGTCCTGACGTCTGTCACCCTCCCACTTCCTTCCCCTTCCAGAACACACATGACCTGACAGAAAAGTTGTATTGGGCCTCTGCGGGCTCCTCTGCCTGTCTTCTCTGCATTCCCCAAGATAGACTTGAACTTGCAATATTCCTGCCTCAGGGGGGCCTTCACCTAGAGGCCAGGCCTGCTCTCCACGTGCTACAGTGACAGCAGTTGTTTCCCTGGCTGTGCTCCATGTTCTCCATGTTCCCTGGCTGTGCTCCACTGTTTCGCTAAAAAGAAGAAAAAAGTCAGCTCGGGGGCATTGAGCTCATCAGAGCCTCTTGTTCTCTCTGGCCCTGCGCTGACCTGCTCTGGAAGCACTAGTTACATGTGGCTTGCACTCCTGATGAGCTGCATTTTTAAGTTTATTAATAACTAAGAATAAAATTATAGCCGGGCAGGGTGGCACATGCTGCAATCTCAGCACTGGTGGAGGCTAAGGTAGGGGGATTGTAAGTTCAAGTCCATCTTGGGGACCACAGTGATTTAGCAGGACTGTGTCCCAAAATTTAGGGGAAAAAAGGGCTGGGTATAGCTCAATACAGAAGCTCTGGGTTCAATCCCAACTACAGAAGAAAAAAAAAAAAAAAAGAAAATAATACACTCATATGCAGCCAAAAAGGATAAATCAAGGCATTTTTAGGAAAACGGATGCATTTTGAGACCCTAATCTTACATGAAATAAATCAGGCACACACATTTAAATCTCGCATTGTTTCTCTTGTGTGAGAAACCCAAAGGGTAAACAGGAGCAAGTGAGGACTGGATGTGGGAGATGGAGGCAGGGGCTCGGGCCAGGTGGGGGTGGGGGAGGTGCAGGGGAAAGGACCTAAGGGAAAGGGCAAAAGTGGAATAGAGGTTTTGTAAGTGGGCAGGGGAAAGGGACACAAAAGAATTACGCTGTTATGTACATGTTCAAATCCTCTATAGTGAATATAATCTAATAAACATACCTTTATCTATATATCTCTATCTATCTCTATCTCTATCTCTATCTCTATCTCTATCTCTATCTCTATCTCTATCTCTATCTCTATACATTTTTTTGAGACAGGGTCTCACTATGTGGCCCAGGCTAGCCTATAACTCATATTGGTCCTCCTGCCTCAGCCTCCCAAGTGCTCAGATTACAGGCGTGCCACTATGCCTGGCCTAAAATGTATCTTTAAAATGTATACACTACATTTTAAAGATATACTGATAGTTGATTCAGTCAGTGGGACAGTTTTAAGTATGTTCAGAGTAAATTACATATGTGAATCTGTTTTTTTTAAGAACTTAATACAGGGTCTTGCTATGCAGCTTGGACTCATAGTGATCTTCCTGTGTCAGCCTCCCCAGCTCTGGGATTACGGGCATGCACCACCGTGTCCGGTTTTGGGGCTGGCACAGTGCACCTGGGGTTCTAGGGCAGGCCTGGCATGCTATACCCAGGATGGAACTGAGGATTCTGTGCTTGCCAGACAGGTGCTTAGATCACCAAACTATCTCCTCAACCCCCTAATCTGCTTTTTCAGCTAGAAGTTTTATAAAATCTAACTACAGAGTAAGTATCTGGTTGAAAATTTAACAGTCTAAATTGAGGTGCAGAAAGAGAAATTATATACTGGATTTCCAGCCTTCATATAAAGACAGAGTGGGGCAGAGAGAGTTCAGCAGCATAAGTGCCTGCCTGGCAAGTGCAAGGTCCCGAGTTTGATCCACCTCCCCAAACAAAAGAATTAAATACCTCATGAGTAATTCCTTTATATTGAATACATGTTGAAATGATAATATTTTTAATATACAGGATTAAATAAAGATTATTAAAGCTAATTTCGGGCTGGTGAGATGGCTCAGTGGTCTAAAGCACCTACTTAGAGCAAGCTTTGCAGAGCACAGGGACCAGGGTTCAATCCCCCAGCACCACATGCCAGCCGGCCCTGCCCCCTGGTGGGCTGAGCTGGCCACACACACACACACACACACACACACACACATAAATAAATAAAAAAAATTAAAAATAAAATAAAATAAAATCATACTGGTCTTTCTTAAAAAAAAAAAAAGCTAATTTCACCTGTTTTTACCACTTTCATTGTGTATACTAGAGAGTTAATTGTACCCATGGCTTTCATAGGCAGTTTTTCTCTGGTGGTGGTGGGGTGTTTCTTTTTTGCAGTGTTGAGAATCAAATGCAGGGCTTTGTGAATGCTGAGTGAGAGCTCTAAAACTCGATAGTTTCTGGCCCTAGTATGAATTGCTGAATTATTATGGTGGTCATCTAATATGGCTGAAGCCCTTAAAACAACAGCTTATCGTCCCAGAGACCACCTCCCCCTTCTCCAACCCAGCCCAAGGACCAATATCCTTTCACTTTTCCTGTAGCCACAGGAAAGACCCCAATCAGTTCTGATACTACTTTTTTTTTTTTTTTGCGGAACTGGGGATTGAACTCAGGCCCTTGCGCTTGCCAGGGAAGTGCTTATTCCACTGAGCCCATTTTTTACTTTTAAAAAATTCATTTTCTTTTTTCAGCCCTGATATTTCCAAACATCCCCCTCAAACTCCAACCCTAACACAAGTTCATAAAAGCCCCAGGTTTCTTTGTCTCAGGCCCGAGGATCCACCTGACCCACCTGCCCTTGATCCTCTCCCTGTCTTTGGAGTTAATAAAGGCTTCTTTTATCTTTCCCATTTCTTTACTGTACTGCCAATAAACCTATCACTACTGAGCTACACATGTAGTCCTTTTTATTGACTAATTGATTGGTTTGTTGATTTTTTTTTTAATGAGCAGAATATATTTATTGAGGGAAAGAAAGTTCCTGTCCAAGAGAGGGACAGGAGGGGGCCTGAGCGGATTGTCCCCAGGAAGATTTTTTGATTGAGATGGGCTTTTGCTGTGTTGCTCGGGCTGGTTTCACACTGCTGGCTCAAGTAATCATCCTGCCTCAGCCTCCCAAATGGCTGAAAGTGTACACTACTGTGCTCGGACTTGCTGTCTTTTTCACTGGAGTGATCTATGCCATTGTTCACCTGGCTGCTTCCGGGGGCTGTGAGCTGCCCTGGTCTGCCCCTGAAAGTGGAAGCCTACTAGAAAACACACATTATTATTATTATTATTATTATTATTATTATTATTATTGACATGGCCAAGGACCACAGGAAAGCTCTTTATTGCTGGGAGTGGCTCAGGCACTCCTAGTAGGCGGGTCTGCTTCCTTTCTACCATGACAGGCTCCTGGCTGCGCCGGATGGCGCTCCCTGGGCGAATGGCAGCCATGCGCAGGTCCGGGCCGTACTTGTTCTTTCGGATCATGTGGCGCAGGCTGCTGAGGGTGGCGCGTGTGCGCTCTTGTTGATGGTAGCGCACACATAGGAGATGGCTGGCTTCCGCCGTGGAGATCTCTGCTTCATGACCACCATGACCTTCTTGCTGTAGGCCGTCCGCTCTACACCCACCGTCTTGCGGTGAACCAGCCCATTGTAGAGAAAGGAGTTGCGGGCCTTCAAGTTATTGGGCTCCGTGCTGTACGTCTGCTTATTCCGCTTGATTAGGAAGCTGGAGCAGTTCCACACTATCCTCCACTGCAGGTGGGCAGGCATGGCGGGGACTCATCTCTCTGCTGAGGCTGGAGACGGAAAGACTAGAAAACACACTTTAAGGGCCAACTTTAATGTTTAGTATTTGCAAATATCATCTCCACCTCAGATGTACTGTTCCTATCCTGCCTTGAAGGACAAGGGGATTCCTTTCTCTTCTATGGCCTCTATATGAGAAGCAGATGAACGGAAGGATCTCTTTCAATGTCTTGAGTCAATGGATCAGTCCATCAGTCTTGTATTCACTAAGATGGAGAATGTAAGTAGGGAGAACTGTGCTTGATTTTAAACCAGCCAGAGGATCAGTGTTTCCAGCATCCCAGTTCGCATGATGGGGCCCATGTGTGGGCCTGGAGGGTGGGCACAGCATGGTCACTAAGCCCTCCTGCTGCTCTTCTCAAAGCCAGGTGCAGAGGCAGGGCCTCTAGGACAGTAGTTCCTGGCTAGGCTCCAGAGCAACAATGCTCCAAGCCCCAGGGACAGAGCTCAGGGCTCCCTTTGCTGAGTGTGTGGGGGACAGGGAAGACTGTCTAGATAAGACGGCCCCTCAGAGAAGACTTCTGGGGTTACTGGAAGCCCCGCAGGCTCTGGGCCTCTTCTCCCTGATCTCTCCCAGCAGTCTGCCCAGGAAAACAAAACAAAACAAAAAATACACCTTCCCTCCCCCCAGGATCTTCCTGTTACCTGCCCTAGGCAGCACTTAAGAAATAAGCCCAGTGGCTCTGATCGGGGAAATGAATAGGAGACGTTTGTGTTTACATCCTAAGAGGAAAGAGCCGCGTTTATTTCCTCAGTCTCAATACCAAAAGCTCATCAGCGGCTTCCTTGTTCGGGTAGCTGACAGTTCTCAGCACCACCTACAGCTGCCTTTTGGGTTCAACAGACTTCTGCGGCTGGCCTGGGAAGCAGATCCCCATTTATAACATTGTTTCTAAGGGATACACATTCCAACATCCAAACAATGAATTTGGTAAAAGAATGTTTGGCTTCCAGGCGGATGAGTTGGTCCGGCTGCATCTCGGAGGCTGGCCGCGCATTCACCGGCTGCTTTCTGCTTGGTGAGAGGACCCGCTCTGCAAGGTGGGGTAAGTGGGTGGGAGTGAGGAGAATCCTAATAAGATAGGGATACCAGGGCCGGGTACTTCCCCAACTCCCCGTCAGGGAAGCCGGGGAGGTCCAGGGTTGGGTGCAAAGGGGAGGTGAGATATGGACAAAGAAACTTGGCCTCTTTCATATTGCTGTCACGTCCTTCAGCCCGCGCAAAGAAAGGGGCCTGTTTAGCCCCTGCCCGGCTCAAACCCTTTTGTGAATGGACCAGGGTGTGTGTGTGTTGGGGGGCAAACCCGCAAAGCCACACATCCTCAGCACCGGGAATCTGCACGTTCTAGGTGGGTTTCGTGGGCAGTGGGACTGCTCCCGGGAGCTACTTTAACACCGCCAGGCGAGCCGAGGACAGTGACCGGGCCGCCAGGCCACAGCTCAACCCTCCTCCGCTCCTACCCTCCTCGCCGCCCTCGGCCGAGAAGAGTAGCTAGCTGGTAGCTGGGCGCACGGGCCGGGGGATGTAGCATTGTCTGGGAGTGAGAGAAGCCCCGCCCCCGAGGGAGGGGCAAGGGAGGGAGGAAGAAAGGCGCGAGGAGCTGGGTGGGGAGAGATGGAGAGCGAGAGAAAGAGCGGAGAAGACTGTCCGACCGGGTAGGGCTGATAAAACCAAGGGAGCCGGGGGGAGGAGCAGAGGGGCTGAGGGGCGCAGGAGGGCGTGGCGCGCGCACCCCCAGTCCCGCAGGCGGCGGCTCAGCCGGCCCGGAGGAAGCTCAGCCCGGAGATCGCTGGCTCAGCCCGGCCCGCTTAGGCGCCCCAGCTTCCAACTCTATAGTGCTCCGGGCGCGGGCGCCGGCGCGCGATCTGGGCACAAGGTGCAGGGCGCCGGACGGTCCTTTTCCCCGCGTCTCCTCCCCACGCCTGAAGTTTTCCCACGCTGCCCGAGCCCGGTGCGGGCCAGTGCCCCTCTCCTCCCGAGCGGTTAGCGTCTCCTCTCGCCCCGCCGCCGTGAGATCCCGGGCGTGCTGACGCCCTAAAGGCCGCGTGGGCGTGGAGCCCGGCGTGCCCGCCTGGCAGCCCAAGAAAGTTGCACCTCGGAGCTCATCCTGCTCCTCCAGCCCTAGGGCTCCTGCTCCCTCTGCGCCTGGGTTGGCGGCGGGAAGGTGTCCGTCCCACGCGCAGGATCTCTGGACTCCCTGGAGAGGCGGCTGGGCAGCAGGTGCAGGGGTGGGCGGGCCGCGACACCCGTGGAGTGTCAGTGCCAATCCGCCCCCTTTCTCCCGGGGCGATGGGCAGTCCTGAGGTGGTGCGCGTCCCCGCAACAATGTGGGGACGCGGGGCCTGTGTCTTCCGGGCACCTCCCCCGCTCTCCACTGCGCTGCGGTCTCGGTCTCGCGCTGTCTCTGGAGCAGGGCTGAGGTCGCCGGGGACCTAGCTTTGCGCTCTCTGACGCCGGAAAGAGGCAGGTGCCTCGAGCCGCGGAGTCACTTCTGCATTTCCATTGCTTACTCGGCACTCAGCTCTGAGCCGGGCGGCGAGTCCTGGGGACAGAAGGCGGTGGCAGTGGTCTGACAGGCCAAGGGTTCTGTTTCACGAAGGGGGTGCTGTTGGGGACCATCCACAGCACCTGTATACCCGAGGACCAGCTGAGCTCTCATCTTCTCAACGTGCTGTGTGTACTTTATTCCCAGGAGGCTGCAGCCCAGGGGACAAGAACACTTTCGCATAGGCCGTGTCTACAGTGCACCAGGGTTATAGTAAGTACCTTACAGGCGATAAGTGTGTGAAGGAATGAGCTCACAACAATTTGTCACGGTGCAGTCTCTGGTCTGGCTCCTGTTGGCCCTGGGACAATGACAGGAAAGAAACTGGAATCACTCTGGACAGCCAGAGACCTGCCAGGGCCTTCTTTCCAAAGCCTGTGAGTGAGGAATCTGAGATTGGCTCGGTCTTCTCCACCCACATTTGCTTACTGAAAACTTTTCTTGCAGGTGACCTGAGGGCTGAGCAAACCCTGGATAAGATACTTTGTGTTGGGGAAGTGTGCTGTGTTGGCTTCCAGGCGCTCGTGAGAGCTCAGAGTCTGGAGTAGGGGCCAAGAGTGTGGCTGTGTTTTGTCCCTAGGGCTTCTTTGGGTGGGTGGGGGGCAAGATGCAAGCTGAGTGTGGGATGCACCTGGGGATGTGGGCTGGTCTGTTCTGGGATTCTTTGTGCTAGGGAGCTTGCAAATGCAAATGAAGAGCAGAGGTAGGGTGTTGTGGAGACAGGATAAAATTTGGGGTATAGCTAGACCTATCCGAGGGACTCCACATTGTGATACTGAAATTCCATTAGAATGACAGGTGACTTAGGGGAGCCTGCTGAGAGGAGGCCGAGGAAGGTGGGGTCCCCTGCTGGGCAGTGTGTACCTGCACCAGCTGGTGTCAGCCTCACTTTCCTGAGATGCTTTCCCCTGGCCCTTGGGGCTCCACAGTCTTCCTGTCTGCATCCCCTTGTGGATTTGGTTCAGTTTGGAGGTCCAGGCCTGCACCCTGGTTTGCACAACAAGGGAGCCAGCAGAGGACCCCCATGCAGCGTTTTGTCTTAGTCTCCTCCTCTCTCTGTGGTGCCCTGGCCACCAAGGGCATCTTCTTGGGTTGGGCTTGGTTCCTGTGCCCAGAGCCCTCAGCCAGCTGGAGAGCTACCCCCTGTTCCTCAGCCGCCACACAGAGACTCATCAGGAAGGCAAAACTGCTCCTGGGCTTGATTATAATGTGGTCCTCTTCTAGTCACCTTGGCAGGATGTGTCTTTACTGCCTGGGACCTGAGAGTTTACTAAGAGGCCCAGAGATGCACTGGGTGTCACTGTCCATGATAAATGGTGCTAGAAATGAACACAGTGTCCACTCTGTCCTTGAGTCCCCATCACTACCCAGAGCTGCCCCTGCTGAGTTTATAAACCTGCATAGCAGACCCTCCTGCCACTTCCTCCACCTGCCACTCTTCAATTATCTATCCCAATAACACCCTGTGCTACTTAAATACCTCTTTGCCATTCAAAAGAATTTTCTTAAGTCCTTAAAGTGGGGTAAGCTCCCTCAGCCTGTGGTCACTAGTCTGGTTTATTTGGCCTGATTGTGGGTTTCCATGGAGGACATGCCCTTTGGGGGCTGTGGGTGTGTGGGCGGGGAAGAGGCACAGTAAACAGGGACATCCCTAGACTCAGAGGCTGAGCCCCCAGTGGGTCATTCTTTATAGTCCCTGGCCTGGCTGACCCAGCCTGTAATCAAAAGCTGATAAAACTGTTTGGGGTAATAGCCTCAGGCTTCAGGACTCTGCCCAAAGGGCAGTGCCTGAACAGAGAGGAAAATCTCAAGAGGTCAGAGACCTAGAGGGGAACTTGCCTGGCCAGTGCATAAAGTGACTTAGAAGGGCTTCTCCTTTTTCCTTCTGTTGACAAAACTTGGCAAAAGCATTCCTGTGCTTTCTTTGATGACGCCAACCCCCAACCCCAAGTGATTTAGCCAAGTAGGCTCGCTGCATTGGCGTGGTGGTGTTTTACCCGCAGCTCCCTCAGCTGTGTCTTCGTGGTTGACTTATTGCTGTGAAGTATGATGAAAGTGTTGGGTTTGGAGTTTCACCAGCGCTGGAGCCTTTTCTAGTGGCAGGATATGGGGTAATTACTGAACACTATCAGTGTCCTGCTTGCACTCTCTTGTCCTCCACAGTGGTGACAAACACTCTGGTTCCCTTGCCTCTGCAAGAATCACTCTGCAACAGGCTCTGTGCGGTCTTTGAAGTTCCTGGCAGGACCGAGTCCCAGTGCTCATGCAGTCACTTGCTCCCTGCAGGGGCTGTCTCCCCTTTCCTGTCTCTCTACCTATTTCTCCTGCACTTGAGTAGTTGCCTCAGGGTCTCCCTCACTGTGAAGCCAACCTAAGACAAGCTTTATTCTGGCGTTATGAGCCCCCGAAAGCTTCAGTTTCCCCAACAGTCCTTTGCACCCTCCTCCTATCTACTTATGAACAATTTTTTTTTTTTTATTTTAGGGAACGATCTACAGGGTGTTCAGGGTCTCATTACTAGATTGGACTTGTAGTGATCTGCCTGTTGATAGCCTCCCAAGAGCTGGAATTATAGGCGTGCGCCACCACACCCAGTCTACATGAACAAAATCTTTACCAACACAAAACTTTTCCTGCATCCACTCTTGTGATGCCTGTCATTGGGCTCCCTACACTGGGCATCCTAGATTCTGCTCTGCTGACCAGGGAGCACAAAAGACACTAACCCAGCATCTTTCTGTCCTCGTGTTCCTGTTTTACTTCCTGGCACAGACAAGCTGTGTCCCCAGAGAAGGTCTGGGAAGAGGATTGCAGAGAGGTTGATTTCTTATGGGAAAGATTTCTGGAACAATGGAGCAATTCTATAGAAGCCCAAGTGGAATCCAAGCAAAGCCCAGGTAGAGCAAGAAATTAAAAAACAACAGCAGCCCAAAATTTGGCATCTTTGGTTTAGTTTTCCTCTTAATGCTCTGTTGATAAATCTTCCAACCGGTGTCCCTGCCTCAGAAATTCCACCCGTAGGGATTCCTATCCTATAATTGGACTCATGCACAGGGAGGCCCTTTGTAGCATCGTTCTCAATAATGATAATGACGAAAAGTGGAGACAAATATCCTATGATCATAAATTAGTTGATTTTGGTCTATCTGTATGTTGAAATGCCTCCATGTGGCTTCAGAAATAAAGGAAACGGATGTGTGTCCATAAACATGGACACATATATTTCTAAGAAGTTTACCAAGGCGTGTGTTATTTTTTGTAAGCTATATCACCCATTTATATTTGCATCTGGGAGGATATATGGCAGAATGGTAATGGGGATTGTCTAGCTGGTAGAATTTCAGGAGATTTTGATTTCTATCACTTTGTTTTTATATGCAATCATTTAATATTTTTTATTGTGATAAAATATATCATAACATTTGCCTTTTAAACTATTTTTAAGTGTACTGTTTTAAGGCATAAGTACTTCACAATCTTGTGCAATTGTTACCACTTCCAAAACCTCCTTGTCATCCCAGACAGAAATCTGTACTCATTGGAAAATATTCCTCTTTTCTGTCCTCCCCCAAGTGTGGGTAACTTTGATGCTACTTACTTTCTTCATGAATATGCCTATTCTAGATATATAAATAGAATCATAAATTATTTTGTTCTATCAATATTTTGACTTGTTTATATTTTTAAAATAAAACATTAAAAGATTTCATTTACTTATGCTATGGAAAAGAAAAGGAAAGCCCTGGAAGAGCGTTGTACTTTTTGGCCTCTGGTGGTTCCATTTTAGGCATGGCCACAGGGCCCTGGCCATCCTTCCTGCCCTGGCGCAGGCATTGGGGTACCACCTCTATCCCTGCCTGGGAGGACAATGTAGGTGGCCTGGGCTGAGGAATGTAGCCCTGCTGCGGGGAGCTGGCCATGCCTGTGGCTTGCTGGTGGCTGGTGGCTGGGCCTTAGGCCTCAGACCCCTCTGCTGATCTGCATGGCCGTGAGCTTGGGAGGGTGACTTGTGGTTCTGCATGCCTCAGGCCCAGCAGCTGTCCTGTTGTGGGTGAATGACATCTTCTTACCAAGTGGACATTTCATCACTGAGATTCACTCCCAAGAAGACTGAGAAAGCCTCGCTTTTTCTAGCCCAAGCATCTCTGTGTGTCCCAAATCCTGTGGCCAAACTAGACCTGCTCAATGGCTACCATGGCACCATGGGTGTGGCCACTGCATGGTTTGTGTACAATGTGGCCAGGGGCACAGGGAGGACTTTAGCTTTAGTAGCCTCAGATAATTGGTATGCTCTTCCCAAGGCTCCTCGTAGGGTTGACCGTGTGGGAGAGTACTGCTGGCTGGGTGTGTAGTGAGTAGAGGCAGAATGGGGTGTGGTGCGAGGTGGGAGAGGGAGCATTTCTGGTCTCCTTTGAGGTGGAAGGGAGTCAGGGAGCTGGGGAGGAGGGCACAGGACTGAAGGACAAGTCTTGCTGCTGGGCTCAGGCTCCTGGGATGGGCCCGGTAGCTTTTCTGCTAGACCTCTGTGCCACGCAGGGGCGCTCAGTTCCCTCTTACCTCAGCTGGTCAGAGAGTGAGGCCCAGGAGGGCTCTCGCCTGGCAGTTCTGAGCTTTCCTCTGTCAATGGGTAGCCTTTAATCGGAGGCAGGTGAGGAAGTGTAAAGAGAGTCTCCACAAAGGTAGGCATCTAGGACCAGGCACGAGGAGTTCTGTTTCTCATGGCTGATTGTTTTGTACAGTTTGTCGGCTGGTTAGGGAACAGGCTGGGGAGGGCGTGAGCATGGTACTATGGAAGCCTTCCCTCAGCCTCCAGGAAGCCTATGGAAAGCCCCTCTGTCTGGCTCCGGGAAGGATGGGAGAGCCGTGTGTGTGTGTGTGTGTGTGTGTGTGTGTGTGTGTACCCACACGAGCTGTTGGGTGTGTGGACAGATTAAAGGGAGGCACACATGATGCCCAACAATGGCAGTTACCCAGATGGCACCAGGTATGTGGGTGCTTTCCATTCCCCTCTCTCTTGCACTGCTCCTCAAGTCCAAGAAAACTCTCATCTCTGGGGTTGAGGGGAAAGCCGTCCTGGCTTTGGGTTTCCAACATTGACTCAGGGAGTGAGAGAAAAACCCCCAAAATCTCTGCACACGCAGCTGTGAGTCTCAGCCTACAACACCAAAAAAGGAAGAAGTGCCGGGGTTCCCTTCAGGAAGGGGATGTGAGGT